CACACACACACACACACACACACACACACACACACACACACTGCCTAGGAGACTAGGCTGCCAGTGATACCAGCATTTGAGCTGGGGCAAAGCAGGCCTGGGCTAGCAGTAGGCATGGGGCAGGGTGGTCGGGGAGAAGGCAGTCCCGGGCTCTGGGTGGCAGCATCAGGCAGCAGAAGAGCTGCCTGGGGCACAAGGGTGCAGAACCTGCAGAGCTGTGTTCTTAGGTGACAGCCAGGAGTCTGGCTCCCGCCCAATCACTATCTCTACGTGCATTTCAGCGTAGTTAATTACTCCACTGTAAAATAGTACTGTCCCCAACAGTACTACCTTATGGCGAAGTTAACTGGTTTGCTGTGCCCTAATGCCAGGGCATGTGTAGATGGTGATGCGATGGTGATACTTTATGGTGGAGCTAATCACTGTACTCTTCAGTAAAGCACACGTGTACATGCACCTAAAGTGTAGGAGAACGTTCAAGGCAGCCACCAGCAGCTTCTCCTAATTTCAGGTATAGGAAGTCAATTCAGAAGGCAGGTTGGGACAAAGAGCTGCAATGAGTGCATCAGACCAGGTAGGAGGTTCACAGCTAATCACTAAGCACATATCAAGATTTATAGTAGCATCCTCAGGTATCTTATCATAAGAACAGAAATCTAAAATGAAGAAGTAACTCAAATTGTGAAGTTATTCAAACATGAAAAAAAATACCAACAAACCTCCTATTGTTCAAACCAATTTTTGTTGAAATGTGGGAAGTGTTAATTTATAGGTGTTTATAAAAAATGAAGGAATTACTACTCTTCTGACATGAACCAAGGCAAAGATACATTTAAAATGATGCACACAAGTTTGGCATTTAGAAAGAGCATTTAAAAAGTGCTTTTATTTTTAGTAAGTAGTGTAGAATTTGTTTATATAGACACATGGATACTAAACTGGAATTCTCCATAGCTGCAGAGACATTAGCATTTAAACAGATGTCTTCTAATTTTACAGGAAATTGAGTTACAGATGGTGACTGCTGAGAACTGGGAAATTACAAGTGGCTGTTATGTGAAAAACCTGTATTGCAAGAAAATGTGTAGTTTGATAATAATGTTTTTCAGAGTCTGAACTGAAAGCCATTAAAGAACCCCAAACTGGATGGTATGATTGCTCAAAAACTTTAATTTGAATAGCCATAATTCAGAAAAGCACTTAAGCATGTGCTTAATTAAGCTAATGGGGCCTTGACCAATTATTGGTAGTTCCTGAACAGAGAAATGTTCCTGAATAAGAAGTTACGTGATTTCCTAAAAAGGTAGCAAGCTATGTGTTTTCTTCAGGAAAAGCTACTTTTTGAGGTATTTTGAAAAGACTAGCCTTTTCAGAAGTGTTCCAAATGGGATTGTTGGCACTCACAGAACTTGATAAGAGTAGGCTTGATTCTCCTTTCACTTAACAAGGCCCTTATAGCAATGTAAGTCAGGACTAAATAATTTAAAATCAACGGATTGACATTTGCATGGAACTAGTGTAAGAAAAAGAATCATACCAAAAGTTTCTCTTGAACCTAGCACAAAAGTCTACTCAAAGTAATGAAATGGAGATGATACACTGTTCAATTTGGGTAAAGTTTGTAACTGAACCTAGAACAGTACAAGCAAAAAGTCAACCAGATTCTTTTGTGCAAAAATGCCATAGACATTTTCAAAAGACAGTTTAGCATAACAATTGCAAATTTTAACTTTTCATCAATCCTCCTAATTCTCATCAAATCTCCCAGTCGGCGATTGTGGTCAGCATCACAATGCTTGCATTGGAAAAGTCAACCTGTGGCTCTGGAGTTGGTGTCATCAGGCAGGTTTTGGCTTCTTTGACCACAACCCGCACTTCCATGAAAGGAGCACCCTGGGACGGGATGGTCTTCATTTCTCTTCAAAAGGTAAGAGTCTGTTCTCTTACAGGTTGGCTGATCTCCTACGCAGGGCTTTAAACTAGGTTCATCAGGGGACGGGGATGCAAACAACAGTGAGTACCTCGGATCAACAGACCACGAGCCATGCATTGGAACAGCCCATGTAAGTACTAAGGGGCCCAATGGGCATCAGGACAGGGGGGCACCAAGGACACCCATTGGGGGGCTCAAATGTCTCTATACTAATGCTAGCAGCATGGGGAACAAGCAGGAGAAACTCACACTTCTGCTTGCAAACAAAAACTTTGATCTAGTTGGGCTAACCGAAACTTGGTGGGACCCTACCCACAATTGGGCAATAAACATTGAGGGCTATAGGCTGTACAGACGAGATAGAGTAGGGAGAAAAGGGGGAGGTGTGGCTCTTTATGTGAAGAAGCAATATACATCTTCCATAACCAAGATGGAATCAGAGGAGGGGCAAATTGAGGTATTGTGGGTCAGAATGCAAGGGTATCCAGGGGAAAGGCACTTAGCAGTGAGGTTCTGCTACAAACCTCCCCAGCAGGAGGAGGAGTTGGACATGGAATTCTCCAGACAGCTCTCAGAGGCCATATGGGTCAAGGGACATGTGTATCATGGGTGACCTAAGCTACCCAAACATCTGCTGGGAGGATCAGTCAGCTAGATCCAACTGTTCATGTACGTTCTTAACCTGCATACAGGACCTTCACCTAACAGAGGAGGTATACAGTTCCACTAGGGGAAATGCTTTACTTGACTTGGTCCTGGCTACAGGGGATGATTTGGTGGGGGATCTACTGATACAAGGTAACCTAGGGGACAGTGACCATCACTTGATTGAATTCACTATCTGGCATAGGGTGGGAAAGATAACCAGTAGGGTAAAAGTTCTAGACTTCAGCAAGGCTAACTTCAGTGTGCTCAGGAGTTTAGTTAGCAAAGCACCGAAGAACAGGAGAATTGGTGAGATGAGAGTCCAAGAAGAGTGGTCATTCCTAAAGGGAGCAGTCCTAAGGGTGCAGAAAGAAACAATTCCCCTGCATACAAAAGGGGGCAAAGGGGCCAAGAAACCCTCTTGGCCAAACAGAGAAACCCAGGAAAGCCTTGGGGCAAAAAAAGAGGAATAAAGG